CACCAAGGTTCTACGTGTCTTGAGGCCAAACTGGTGGTGTTTGGAGGACTGGGAGGAAAAGCATAAGGGACCAATCTCCGGCTCAGGAAGGCCACAGAGGACAGAGCAGCAGGAATGGAGAGGCAGGGGTCGGCAGCTCTCTGCCTCCCCCACGGCCCCGAGGCTGGGCTTCTGTGTACTGTGGTGTCGGTGTAGGCCTGAGCTCCAGACTGTGGTTCTCGGCTTCCAGGCCTCCATGTTTGCCAGAACTGCTGGGGGGGCTCTGAGCCCGCAGAGCCTGCCCCGGCACCCGTGGGCCATTTGCACCGGTGGCATCTGGCCCCAGGCCAGGGCTACACTGAGCTGCCTCCAACTGGCTGAGGGGAGCTGGCGGCTACTTTTCCAGGAATTCTGGGAGTTGGTTGTTAAACACAGCTATCATTACACGTGATATAAACTTATGGTTAAGTTGCATTAAAACCAAAGGACTTTATTAATACCCACTTCCTAATTATTTTGCTATTATCTGTGCCCTGAGGTTATTAATGTGGGACAAGTGTGCTGTCTGTTGTCACGGTGGGCTCCTCACAGTGCCAGCCTGGGACTGGCCAAGGTGAGTGTGTTGACACCCTGGAGACTGGCAAAGGCTGCAGACCACTCACGAGCACACCATGCGGCTGGGAACCCCAAAATCAAGCTCCAGTATGCCCCCAGGGGCTCCATTCAAAAGCTGGTTTTGGAAGAACACCGCTAAGTACAGACTGACGGCGCCAGGGCCAGGCCTCGGCTGGGGAAGGAGCTCCTTTCCCAGAAGGAACTTCTTTCCCGGAAAGGAATTCAGGTGCAGCTTCTAAGGCCTGTAAATTGCTCTGTGACCTGTGCAAGTAACTTAACCCCTCTGTGCTTTCATCCTGTCATCCACAGCGCGGGGGTGCTAGCTACCGGCGCCGGGCCCCAGGGGCTGACTGTGAGGGTTAAAGGAGATGCCACATTCAAGGCCTGCCTGAGCAGTGTGGCCTGCAGAGGGCGCTTGTTACTATCACCCATTGTTAACCATCTGGTGAAAGAAGGAAACTTTCATCCAGCAAATTATTTATTTTTTTATTATTTTATTTTTTTCCCTTTGTAACTCTTATTTTTTCTTCTTGGGAGTTGCCTTCATGTTCTTTGTAGAAAATCAAAACATATACTTCACAGGAGGAAAAGAGAAAGCACCCATGTCCAGCATCTGGCGAACATTCTGGAACCTTCTACCTTCCTGTTTTCCCCCAAACCCAGCAGCAGCTGACCTCGAACCTCCAGAAGAGGACCCCTTGTTTGCTGCCTGGGGCTGCTGTGGCAGCGTCTCTCCCCCTGCCACAGGCACTGGCTGGATTCACCGTCCACTTGGATGCCACTCGTGATGCACAGATGCTGCAGGGCCACCCCAGCAACCACCCTGGTGAAAGGCCACTTGCTCAGCACCCACACTGCTGGCACTCTAGCTTTCCTTTCCTTTCCAGTGAGAAGCACCCTTCGCATCTGCTTATTAGACAAATATTGGTTGCATGCATATTAGGTGCCAGATTGCGTGTTATGGGGGATGTAAAGTTAATAAGAGGTCTTCTCCTTACTAATTAACTTAGTGGCATTGATAGTAAGAATTGTTATTTAACAGGATTAAAAAAAATTTTTTTTAAAGATTGATTTGAAAGGCAGAGTTACATAGAGGGAGAGAGAGAGCTTTTTCATCTGCTGGTTCACTTCCCAAATGACTGCATCAACCAGAGCTGGGCCAGGCTGAAACCAGGAGCCAGGAGCTTCATCCAGGTCTCCCACGTGGGTGGCAGGGGCCCAAACACTTGGGCCATCCTCTGATGCTTTCCCAGGCAGAAGTGGAGCAGCAGGGACTGGAACCAGAGCCCCATGGGATGCTGGCATCGCAGGCGGTGATTTAATCTGCTGCACCAGTCCCTTAACAGGGTATTTCTAAAAAACCAAAGTTGTGTTCAGCAGGAAGGACCCGGTTATCTTTACTGCTATGTAACAGTGACAGGAAGCCCTGAGCCTCAGGGAGAAAGGGGGCTCTCTCCTGGCAGCACACCCAGAGCAGCAGGGGGCTGGGGAGCTGGGCTAGCCCCCTGCTCCCGTGCCCTCCTCTCACAGGAGTGCAGTGACCCTGAGATTCCAAGCCAATCACTCCAGTTTGTGCTCAGCCCACAGACTGTCCTGGTCCACTGCTGCAGGAGACACCAGCAATGGTGTCATGGACAGAGATGTAGGAACCCCCGAAGTGTAAGGGATTTTCCTGTTTTCATTTATTTGAGAGGCAGAGAGGGAGGACGGGAGAGAGAATGGGAAGGAAGGAGAGAGAGAGAGAGAGAGAGAGAGAGAGAGAGAGAAACATAGCTCTCATTCATGGTTTATTCCCCAAATCTCTGCCAACAGGTGAAGACGCTGGGTTGGGCTGAAGCCAGGAGCTGGGAACAGTCCAGCTCTCACGTGGCTGGCAGGGACCCAGTCGCTGGAGCTAATGCTGCTGCCTCCCGGGGTCTGCACCAGCACGAAGCTGCCCTAGCAGGAGCCAGAGCCAGGAACCCAGGCACTCCCATATGGGGACACAGACGTCTTAATGGCTGGGCTAAATGCCTGCCTCTCAATGTGCTTTAATCCCAGTTTACGTGAGCTTTCCGAGATACCCTGTAATGAGTGATCCTGAGACAGAGAAAGCAGTCCCCGTGCTGTGGACAACTGTCTTCTGGCTGCAGTGCACTCCCCACCCCGATTCCGGAAGAAACCCGGTCCAAGTGGCCAGGCCACACACTGAACATGGAGGGGCCCTGCTCCCCAGATCTGTAGCTGGGGCTGCCACCTGCTGCCCAGCTCCTTGGCAGGCATACCCCGCCTCCGGGCTGCGGTGCCGGCATTTCCTCTGCCGGGACACTCGCCTCCAGCTCTCTATTTCTTTGAGCCCTTTTACTTTCGTGCTTACTTTGACCTCTTCCCACTGGAGCGGGGGAGTCCCGCAGGTGCAGGACAGGAAGCGCACCTGCATTGTCACTGACCTCGTCATCATCAGCACTTCCTACCCGGCCAGTAGCTGGGGCTCAGAAGAGATGCACTTGGTTGTTTATTTATTTTAAAGACATTTATTTATTTCAAAGTCAGAGTTTTACACACACACACACACACACACACACACACACACACACACACACAATCTTCCATCCACTGATTCATTTCCCAAATGTCTGAAATGGCAGGGGCTGGGCCAGGCAGAAGCCAGGTGCCGGAGACTCATCCGGGTATCTCACGTGGGTGCTGGGGCCAAACACTTGGGCCATCTTCTGAGCTTTCCTGGGCAGATTAGCAGGGAGCTGGACTGGAAGTGGAGCAGCTGGGACACTAACTGACACCCATATGGGATGTTGGTGTTGTAGGCAGCAGCTTTACCCACTATGCCACAGTGCCGCCTACCCTCCCCCCCCCAAAAAACCCCATATTTTTAGGTACTGAACTGAGTAAGTAGGGAGGGTGCTTGGAGGTTGTCCGGTCCAACTCCCACCACATGATAACCTTGGCAGCGATGCCTGCCCTTGGCTAAGACACCTGCAGGACAGAGAAAGCTCCACCCACACGGAGCTACTATGCCGTTCAATGTTCAGAACCATCTCCTGTCATTGTTAATGGCTGCTCTCCGGATCCTTCCAGAAGGAAAGCGCCAGCTCACCACTATCCCATGCTGAGGACATCGATAGAGCCTAGGGAGACCTGACAGCTGGTAGAAATTAAGAAAGAACACATCTGGTGGCATAAATGACATTAGGTGACGGGAAAAGCTGAAGCGAGCACCCCCTCGACCCCAGCTCCTCTGCTTACTCTGGTCTCCCTCCCTTCTGTTCCACAGCCTCATTAAAGGTCATCTCTGGTGCCCACTGCACACAGCGGTTGCACTGTGACGGGCAGTGGTTATGTCCCACCAGGTTAGACTTCCAGGGCAGTGGTGTGGGGGGTGCAGGACGCCCAGGGACCCTGCAGAGACCGGCAGCCCCAGGTGTCTGGAGCACGTGGCCTCTTGTCCTGGCTTTGGAGGCCCTGTGTTCTCTGAGGGGTCGCAGTCTCCAGGAGTATGCACTCAAGGTGTGGCCTGGACCAAACACACACGTGATGCCTCGGAGGGCGATGCCATCGACTTTTGTCTTGGAACGGACAGGAGGCTTATTGTTCTCCCTATGGGGGCTAAGTGATAAGCAAGCTTGGTTCTAGACAAAGCCCACCTCCTCGGGACACTAATGCGTCCTGCTTCACCCTGAGACCTTACTAGGGATGGAAACAGTCGGGTGGAAGCTGGCGCTCCCCAGGCTGCTGCCATCCTCGTCCTGGGATCGTACCTCTGGGCAGCAGCCTCGTCTTGCGCATTTTAATTAATGCAGTGAACCAGGCTCTACCTTTCAAAGGAATCTGAGGGGACTCTTTCTGCCAAGTCACAGCCGAGTCCCTGTGACACTCAAGAACGCGGGCCAGGTTCTTGTGTAGGTTCAGGAAGTCCGAGGAGCACAGAGATTATAGGGAAACAGTCTACCTTTCTTTACAAGCCTTGTTTTGCATCCCTGAAATCTCAGATGCAGCTATTACAATGAAGTCCTGTTGTAGAAAGAGCTGGCTTTTTATCACCACTTAAAATCTAATTAATCCATATTGAAGCACAAAGATTTCTGTTGTATTTTAGGGTGAGGGGTCATAGAGCCTTCTTTGTTCATCCTCAGACTTAGAATCTTCCAGCATTGGGGATATAATTTTACCAAGCAAATTGGAAGGTAACAGATCAAATCCTTATCGGAAAGCCTAACTCATAGTTTTAACAGAGTCCCTCGTCCTTTACATGAAACATTATATTCAAGAAGAACAAAAACACATTTCAGGGGTGCCCAGAGAGTTAATGGCCAAAGCTTATATTCCAGGCAGCATAGAACCAAGATCGTCACACTACTTACTGTCAACCGCAAAGACGGCAGATCCTATAGGAGTGGCAAAGTCAGAGTTGTTGCAATGGCTTTTGACTTCAAAACAGCAATGCAATCTCTTGGACTTTTATTATCTTTCCTGGGATGGGTTTTGTCCATTATGACAACTTACTTGCCACTCTGGAAGAACCTCAACCTGGACTTAAATGAGATGGAACACTGGACCCTGGGACTCTGGCAGACTTGTGTCGTCCAGGAGGAAGTGGGCACGCAGTGCAAGGGCTTCGACTCTTTCCTGGCTTTGCCTGCTGAACTCCGGATCGCCAGGATTTTCATGTTTCTGTGCAACGGGCTGGGGTTCCTGGGCCTGCTGGTCTCGGGGTCTGGCCTGGACTGCTTGAGAATCGGAGAGAGCCAGCAAGAGCTCAAGAAGCGCCTGCTCGTCCTGGGGGGAATCCTGTCCTGGACGTCAGGCATCACAGCCCTGGTGCCGGTCTCGTGGGTGGCCCACGTGACGGTCCAGGAGTTCTGGGACGAGACCCTTCCGGAGATTGTGCCCCGGTGGGAGTTTGGGGAGGCCCTGTTCCTGGGCTGGGGTGCTGGCTTCTCCCTCCTCGTGGGAGGGTGTCTGCTTCACTGTGCAGCCTGCTCCGCCCGGGCTCCGCTCGCTGCCGGCCACTACGCGGTGGCAGATATGCAGACTCAGTGTCCACATCTGGAAGACGGAACTGCAGATCCCAAAGTGTAAGCCGTGGACAAGACCAGAGCGATATATCCCATCAACCCCAAAGACACGAGGAGGTCTTTGGTTACGTGAATCTGCGCAGCTCACATTTTCCCACTCAATAACTATTTCTATTAGACTCCTTCCTCCCCACTCTGGAGAATAATTAGGGACCTCTTGTATCTAAAAGAGAACCATTATGGTAAGCATTCCATAGGTATGAGTGAAGAAATGTTTCACTGACCTGGTTATTAAATCAATCCGTGGTGGTGGGTGTCTATGAACGTGACTCTTAAGCTTTAACCTGTTCTTTTTTGTATCAGAAAGCCTTTTCCGTTTGGTTGCTTTTGTTGGCAAGTGGAAATGGTAACTAGTTTCTGTTTCCTAAAGGAAGAAAAACCAGCCATCTGAAATCCTTTGAAGTTTCTGCATAAGTGAAACCACATGCAAAACCAATGCTAAAGTGCTGTTTCCCCAGCGATGACTTGGTCTCCTTTGGTTTGTGTTTTAGGAAATTCCTAGGTACTCTGTTTAATTTTATGAGGATTTTTATGTAGCTGAAGGTTTGAGGTGTTTTGTGATATTCTCAGATTTAAAACACTGGCCATTATCCTCTCTCATTTCTTTCCCAAAAAGCTTCATATTTAAAAAAGAAAAACAATTCCACTGATTTTTCTGGATACCCAGGTATTATCAGTTGGTTTGCCTGTCCTTTGTTCAATGAAAAATTACAGACTTGGGGATAACTATTTCAGTGGTGAACAGAGACGCTGATTCTGACCTACAAAGTCCTATTGCTCAATCTGTCCACAGATTAAGACTCATATTTACACAATGGAGAAAAAAAAAAGTGTTTTTACGCACTTGTCCATGAATCTGACAGAAAGGCATGTAGATACACAGACCCAATATTTGGTTCACTGTTGTTTCATAAGCTATGTGGTGTAGGTAGCCGAAGAGCTTTTCAAAAAAAAAAAAAAAAAAAAGGCCCAATTCAAGATCTCAAGAGATTTTATGGTAAGACTGATTTATTTGGTTAAGAAATACTTTTCTTGAATCTATTTTTAAAAAATGATAACATCCAGTATCATCGTAACACACACATTGAAATTTGAGAACTACAACAGATGAACATCTGACAGGTGCAATTAGCAAGACAGAAAGCAGGAGTTAAATGAAAACCATCAATTAAACACCTGTGCATTCAGACTTAATTCTTTGACTTGTTAGAAAGGCTGAGGACAACATGAGAGCCATTTATACCTTAACAATGAAGAGTTTTATTTCAGTGACAAACTGCTTCCTACAAAACCAAGCCCACAGGACATGAACACGGTCTCGGCCACACCTTGGCATTACTGGTTTGCATTATTTCCCTCTCTTCTTTCTTCGGAAACCTATTCAACATGGAACCAAACAATAGCAACTCTGGCAGGAATCCTCCTAAATACACAACGAAAAAATATTTCTGACTCGGCAAGTGATAACACAGGTGTCACACTTCTTTTCACAGCAACTGAACGGCAGGAGTTAGCTTTGCTAAAGCCCACAGGGCTTCATAATGGCTTTAGTATTTAGAACTGCAGCACAGTTTGCTGGAATTTCACTATCTTTACTGGGATGGATTTTATCCTGTCTTACGAACTACCTGCCACTCTGGAAGAACCTCAACCTGGACTTAAATGAGATGGAACACTGGACCCTGGGACTCTGGCAGACTTGTGTCGTCCAGGAGGAAGTGGGCACGCAGTGCAAGGGCTTCGACTCTTTCCTGGCTTTGCCTGCTGAACTCCGGATCGCCAGGATTTTCATGTTTCTGTGCAACGGGCTGGGGTTCCTGGGCCTGCTGGTCTCGGGGTCTGGCCTGGACTGCTTGAGAATCGGAGAGAGCCAGCAAGAGCTCAAGAAGCGCCTGCTCGTCCTGGGGGGAATCCTGTCCTGGACGTCAGGCATCACAGCCCTGGTGCCGGTCTCGTGGGTGGCCCACGTGACGGTCCAGGAGTTCTGGGACGAGACCCTTCCGGAGATTGTGCCCCGGTGGGAGTTTGGGGAGGCCCTGTTCCTGGGCTGGGGTGCTGGCTTCTCCCTCCTCGTGGGAGGGTGTCTGCTTCACTGTGCAGCCTGCTCCGCCCGGGCTCCGCTCGCTGCCGGCCACTACGCGGTGGCAGACTTGCAAGCTCTTCGTCAACAACTGCCCATGAAAAACTCCAACCTGAAAGTCTAAGCCAGAAGGCATCAGCGCTCTCCAGGCTTCAGGAGATGGCTCAGCTCTGGATTTGGTAGGACTTCCTGCTCCACAGCCACCATTCACTATGCTCCTGCTTTTCCAAAATGCAAGCCCCCCTCCCCCTGGGGATTTACCTTCTTAAACTAGAATTTCTTTCTACGACTGGTAAAGCACTTTTACCTTCTTCTCAAAGACGGAAACCAATCAAGACTTAATACAATCACAATCCTTACTGTGAGTGAGTTTTCTCAGTTTTAAAACAGGCACAGTGACTGCACAGAGCTGGTAAATAAAACATTGTATCAAATGCGTATGTATCTTTGAAGGTATTATTTATATGGAGGGGAATTATTTTGGCAATTGGAAATGCCACTGCTAACCACTGGTTTCTTTCAGGTGTTTGAAATAACCTATTAGACATAAGCTAAGGTCTCATCGCATATTTAAAATGCATGATATCTGATTGTACATAAAAAAACAAAAAGCCTGCTGGTTCTTTAAAAACTTTGGAAGTGAGAGACGTGGGAGACACCATTTCCTTTCCTCAGTGCCTCTATGGAGGCTTTCCAAAAGCCAGCCCCACTCATTCACGCCTTCAAGCACAGGAGGGCAACCTTGCATTTTGGAAGATTCACTTAGAATCTAACCCCTCCTCCCTGCTCTGTGCCTGATGGCCAACACTGCCACCGGCCCCTGGCTCTGAGCCGCGGTTGGGACCGGTGGGTGTGCATGGGCACAGGGCTTCCTGGGAGTGCTGCCAGCTCAGCAGTCCCCCGACTGAGCGCACGTTCCAGAGCCCTTTGTCTGATTTGCAGAACAGACGTATTTCATAGTCTAAACGGGAACTATTCGCAGCAAACTGCTGGGCTGGGGAAGTTCATGAAAGATTTTATATGTGCTTGGTCCATGGTTTAAGTAAACTCTGATGCTTGTGCCAATTAGGGAAATTAAGTGAACAATAAACAACAGCAAAATAAAGTATTATGCAGATGTATCTTTGTTAAGAAACAGAAAAACCACTGATTTTTTTTCCACCCACAAACACATGGAAAGTGCAGAAACCAAAGTTAATCTACATGATGTATTTGCATACTTTTATAAACAAGACAAATTTAAACAGAAACATATTCAGAATTTAACCTGATTAAGTATTTAGTTCAGTCCTGAGCTTTGATATTTAATACAATATAATAAAGCAATAGCAAAAACCCCAAAGATTTTAAGTTTATTTGATTTGCATCCTACAGAGATTCAGCTAATCTTTGTTCATTTGGCTAGCCATATTCTTTTTTGTACCTGTAACACTTAAGATTCTGATATACAAAACTGTAATTACATACTGATAATTCAAAATTGAGGACTAAATATTACATTCTTTTTACCCTGTGCAGAATAAGTCCTACCTTTTAAAAATAGCATTTATAATATTAAAATTCGTATTTGTCCATATGGTTTTGTGATCATGTTAGTAAAATGTTTTGTCACTGTGAATCATTTGGGTTAGTACAAATATGACAGTATTATTAAAAGCTGCCTATAAATACATAACACTATTGCTGATTTTAAAGTGTGGAAAAAGTTATATTAAAGTAAGTTTGTTTCTCATGTTAGAAATGAGCAAATTCTGTAAAATAAAACCAAAAGCATCTTGGTCACAACTGTTAACTACCAGCCCGAGACAGATTTTATTTTTTTAATACTTATCTGAAACTTTTTGTGTTACAAAAAGTTAACAGCTAATCTGATGGAGACTTATAAAGCTGTAAATATTCCAATATAGCCTCTTCTATGTCGAACATTTAAAATGGCCAGAACCAAACTATATATTAAACAGAACATAAATAATACCGTAAATAAATAAATGAAGAAAATAAAATCGTACGGTACAACTACACATAACTCTATAAACATTTTCACGGTCAAACTAAGAAGCTGAAATCAGCTGACCTTCATTAACTTTACATTAAATAAACTTCTGTCTCTCACATTTGACCTCAACAAGGACGAATGGCATTCTTTAACTGGATCTTCTTAGGCATCTAACAGAGCAAGCTGGGCAGCCTTGAAGGCCGGTGCTCAGTCGCTTCACTAGGCTGGTTTCTGTTCAAAGCAACGTCATGTCCAGTTCTATCTAACAAGAAATTTGTATATTCCTATAAGTGGTGGGATTTTAGAAAAAAATAAAGTTCTAGGCTCAGAAACTGCTTAATTTGATCCTTGATTCTGCTAAAATGAGCTTTCTAAAATATGTACAGTAAATTTAAAGACAGTAAAAATTTTTGCTAGTGAGGATTCTAACTTACAAACGGGACTTTTTAACACTTTCTTATTTAAAGGGCCTGTTCCTTTACGATGATTTGGAATTGTTAAAAATTACTGGTTTAGTTTGCAATGTAAGATAGTTGTCTAAAATGTGCTTCTTCTAATATAACAGACAGAATAACAAGGGTAGTTTAAGTTGTTTAAATAACATATATTTTAGAAGCCTTTAAGCTGGCAGGGCTACATCGAGGACTTTTTTTTTTTTTTTTTTTAAGTAGTGCCTGGGCTGGGTAAGCTAAAATTCTATTAGGAGGGCACATTATTATATTTCTGAATTTGTTCATTTAGAGTAATTTTTTCCTTCTTGCAAACAATTCAGCCCCACATCAACGCTCTCCCCTTGGCCCCCCTCCCTGTCTACCATGAACCGCAGATGCCCGCACGGAGGGGAGGGGCTGGGACTCTGAAATCCGTCCCCTGATCTCCCTTCCTTCTTTTTGGCAACTCTGACTCCACCAAGACAGCCTTCCGTAGGCCCGTGCTGTCTCTGGGACGCCCTGGGGCCAGCCAGGGGCCCACACGGGAAGGCTCGCGAGGATCCGCAGATGCGGGCTGCGCGGGGCGGCGCCGCTCCAGAGGAAGCGAGGTTTCCCGCGCTCCTCCCGCCCTCAGCGCCAGCGTCACAGGCTCTTCCTGCGGGCCAGGGGTGCCGCGCCTCTCAGTGATATTCTCACACGGTTTACGTCTTCTTTAGACAAAAAGGAACTTGTTTCCAGGAGACAAAGTGTTGCCACCCGGGCGGCAGGAAGTCACACTGGACTCCCGGAGCTGCTCTCCAAGAACGCCCGTGGCGCCGCTGCCGACCCGATGGCGACTCCGGGGACAACCGGGAAAAGCAAACACTGCTCTAGGAAAAGCCGCTGACCCAAGTGGTTTCTCAGCAGTCAGCGGAGGGGGAAACACGCCAGGTCCTGCCTCCGTTCCACTTTGACAAGATAAAGCCCACTGGCAGTACACACACAAGCTCATTTGTGGGCCACATTATCCCATTTTTGTTAGCTGAGTCTTTTTTTTTTCTTTTCAAAATATTATATTCAAAGTATTTTACAAATTAACATGTTGAAAATATGACGTGAAATGAAAGTCCATCAAGAATTGACAATTACGTCACACACAGCCCCCCCCCCCCCAAAAAAAAAAAGGAAGAAAGAAGACAAACGTTCCATCTTTCACCGAGCAGGTGGAGGCAGATGGTCTGAGCGCTGGCGTCACACGTCGTCGGCCGGCAGGGACGGGATGCTGATCTTCGCTCTGGTGAAGTAGGCCATCTTCTCCCTGCATTGGCGGGCAGAAGTGCACTGGCTTCAAGATGGTGTTTATGACACTTGGTGACCATCACTAGAGTCCCCGAGAACGGCCGCAGTGCTCTGCGAGCCTGGAGGGGGCTCCTCTCCCCGGGGCCGACCTCCACTGAAAATCAGGATGGCCGCGGCCGATGGGGGACGGCAGTTGTGGCTCAGGGTGATGCCACAGGGGCCGAGGCACCAACCTGGCCCCGGGACTTCCAGTACAAGACAACTTTTAAATCATTGCAGGTTTGATCTAGGGATGAGGGTTTCTTTCTTTTAAAAAAATTTTTAAAAAGGAGTTATTCTATTTATTTGGAAGGCAGAATTACAGAAAATACTCTATCTGCTGGTTCACTCCCCAAATGGGCACAACGGCCAGGGCTGGACCAGGCCAAAGCCAGGATCCAGGAGCTTCTTCCAGGTCTCTCATGGGTAGCAGGGGCCCAAGCACTTAAGCCATCTTCTGCTGCTTTCTCAGGCCTTTAGCAGGGACTGGATCTAAGTGGAGCAGCTGGGTCTCCCATATGGGATGCCAGCGTTGCTGGCAGAGGCTTAACCCCCTAAGCCATAATGCTGGCCCCCAGGGCAATTCCTTTTTTTTTTTTTTTAAGATTTATTTTATTTATTTGAAAGAGTTACAGAGAGGGAAAGACAGAGAGAAAGGTCTTCCATCCGTTGGTTCCCTCCCCAAATGGCTGCAATGGCTGGAGCTGAGCTGATCTGAAGCCAGGAGCCAAGAACAACTTTTTTTTTTTTTTTTTTTTTTTTTAAGATTATTTTATTTATTTGAAAGACAGAGTTACAGAGAGAGGTAGAGCCAGAGAGAGGTCTTTCATCTGCTGGTTCACTCCCCAAACAACTGCAACTGCCAGAGCTGAGCTGATCCAAAGCCAGGAGCCAGGAGCTTCTTCTAGGTCTCCCATGTGGGTACAGGGACCCAAGCACTTGGGCCATCTTCTACTGCTTTCCCAGGCCATAGCAGAGAGCTGGGTCAGAAGAGGAGCAGCAGGACTAGAACCGGTGCCCATATGAGATGCCAGTGCTGCAGGCTGGGGCTTTAACCCACTGTGCCAAAGCAGCGGCCCCAACATTCTTTTTTTAAATTACAGAGAGGAAAGGTATTCCATCCACTGGTTTACTCCCCAAATGCCCACGACAGCTGGAGCTGGGATGATCTGAAGCCAGGAGCCAGGAGCTTCTTCCGAGTCTCCTATGTGAGTGCAGGGGCCCAAGCACTTGAGCCATCTTCTGCTTTCCCAGGCCACAGCAGAGAACTGGATTGGAGGAGGAGCAGCCGGGACTAGAACCAGCATCTATATGGGATGCCAGGCAGAAGCTTAGCCCACTATGCCACAGCCCTGGCCCTCTGAAACTCTTGATATGTAACTTCTCTTGAAAAATAAGAAAGCCACAGAACTCCGGGCTTCCAACTCCAGCACTGCCCAGTGCCTCACCACTGAGGTCAGGGATCAGTGACCAGGCCATGCCTTGTGTGCACGCCCGTGCTTCCAGGACAGTCTGCTTTATCTCACCATTCTCATCACTTGCTTGGTGACATAAACAGGTTTGTATCTTAAGGGAAGCCCAGGATGTTTATGAATTCTTTGTTTCGGGTTTTAGCAGAAACAGGGAGTGGTATGATTTTCCATGCTAGAGGATGCTGCATGCTCTCAAATTGACCAACGGCACTGAGGACATGGAAGGACTCCTCTCATCAGTACAAGCAGTAGCAGTACCAGCTGAAAGTTACAAATGTGGAAAATCTAACTCTTGACTTTAAAAATGTCCCATAAAAAGTTAAGAGCAGGGAGGGACTATGTAGCCTGGCAGTTAAGACACCTGTGTCTCCCATCAGAGTGTCTGAGTTTGATTCCTGGTTCTGGCTCCTGACGGCAGCTTCCTGCTAATGCAGATCCTGGGAGGCAGCCGTGACAGCTCAAGTAACATGGGAGACATGGGCTGCTTTGCCAGCTTCTGGTTCTAGTCCAGGCCCAGCCCCAGTTGCTGCAGGCATCTGGGGAGTGAAAGAGCTGGTGGGAGGAGCTCTGTCTGTCTCTGCCTCTCAAAGAGCAAGGAAAGAAAAGGGAAGGCTTGTAAGCCCGTGACAGCACTTCCCGGCCCTCCACTCTGCACTCACGCTGCTGCCTGCTGCAGTCACCCCTGCTTCCTCCTCCGGCCCTTCCCTGCTGCCCGCCTCCTCACAAGTACCCTGCCCAGCGGGCGGACTCCCAGTCCCACCCTTCTCCCTGCTCTTCATTTCTTCCATGCATATCTACAAACTTCCTAGACTCCTCGGTATAAAACCCAGACCTAAACTAAAGCAAACAAAAAACTCAAAGAATCAAACTCTTTTCTATTTCACTCGACTGAAAGTGTCCCTGAGATGGTCACCAAGAAGCTGCAGATCACGTTACATTTCCCAGTTCTCCTCTCTTCTCTTGAAGAGGCTCCACCCCTGGCTCTGTAGCCACACCCACTTCTCCCTTCCCCACCCCCTCGCCAAGCCTTCACATCCCTCAATGGTTTTTTTTTTTTTTTTTTTTTGACAGGCAGAGTGGATAGTGAGAGAGAGAGACAGAGAGAGAAAGGTCTTCCTTTGCCGTTGGTTCACCCTCCAATGGCCGCCGCGGCCGGCGCGCTGCGGCCAGCACACCGCGCCGATCCGATGGCAGGAGCCAGGAGCCAGGTGCTTTTCCTGGTCTCCCATGGGGTGCAGGGCCCAAGCACCTGGGCCATCCTCCACTGCACTCCCTGGCCACAGCAGAGAGTTGGCCTGGAAGAGGGGCAACCGGGACAGAATCCGGCGCCCCGACCGGGACTAGAACCCGGTGTGCCGGCGCCGCTAGGCGGAGGATTAGCCTAGTGAGCCGCGGCGCCGGCCACCCTCAATGTTTAATACCCATCAGGCCCCCTTTCCTGGTCCCCTTTTCACATTCCCTGGGGTACCTGGCCCATTCTCATCGTTGGAACCGGCACATCGAGGAGGAAAACCCAGTTTTTCTCTCCTGTCCTGACCCTAATCCTGGCTTTAGATTTCAGTTCCACGTGTCTACTCCCTGGGCTACCCTGTGGCGCTGTTGCCCGGACACACGAAGAGCAGAACTTGATCCGCTCCCAGACCTGCTCTTCTCCCTGTTCTCAGGGTTGCGGGCTGGCCCCACCGAGCAGCACTCCACTGGACCTACTGCTCTCCTTCCACTCAACCCCCACAAACTGGCCTCGTCTCCCCAGTTTCTCACTGGTTTCCTTTCCACAATACCTCGTAAATCTGCCCCCCACAAAATCCCATCCCATCATTTACTGCTAAAACCACAGTGGGCAACCTTCAGTGGTGCTGCTGAAGCCTGCTGGAGTCTGAGCCCAACTCCACCTGGCAGGCTCGTGGGCCGGCAGCTCCGACACACACAGAGAACTCCGCATTGACCTCTCAGGCTCTGTGCCTCTGTCCATGCCGCTCCTCCTGCCCCAGTGCCCTCGTAAAACCTCTATAAAGTGCCACTGCCTCTATACTCTGCCACTGGCCCCTGCGGCCAGAAGCCCTAGCCCGCACAGACCGAGAGGGCTCCTGCACGCTCTCACGGCCCCCCTTGTACCTCCACTTAGCTCTTCCACACGGCGCTGCGGGGCTCGGCTTACCTGCCTGGCCCCTGCATACTACGGCCCCTCTAGAAGAGCAGGCAGCCTAGATTCTCTGTGCATCATGGGACTTAGCCCAGCACGTGGCTTCCATTGGCGCCCAAGGGCTGTCTGTAAAATGAGCAAACAGACCTGTAACTTGTCTGCAGCTCCTGGACACCCGAGTCACCAACTCTCACTGACATGTGTGAAGGGCTGCTAAGAGCTGGGGACACCCGTGTTCCTGGGCTTTAATCAGGGCTTCAGCTCTGCCAGGAAGGAGCAAATATCAACTCGTGTATTCAAGTTAGGGAATGGGGGACGTGGGGCGCATGTCCTCAGGGCGACTTCACTGCACTGGGGTGTACTCCTGCGTAACCAGACCACAGGAGGACAAGCCGGAGAGCTGTCCTGTGGTGGGCCCATTTTACCTGAAGGACTGCACCTGCTGAGGCACCTTCTGGCTCCGCCCACGAAGCCGACACACTTCCTTGGAGACTTGCCTTGCCAGTTTCTCTGCATTCAAACCCTGCTGCTGCTCTTCTTTCGATTGTTCAGCCTGGCAAAGGATAATCAAAACAGAAAAAAAAAACACACAAAAACAGTGAGAAGTCCCACGAGCCAGGCTGCAAGGCTTGGAGCAGTACAGACCAGTGAGGAGGGCAAGCTAGGTGGGCAGTGGGGTGGGGTGGCCCTCCCCTCGCTTAGGGGACAACACCCATGAGCCCAACTCAGTTCATGCAGAAGCGCATCAGGTACTGATTTAGTGGTGAATTTATCTGAATCACATTTAAAAAATCTTATTACAGAGACAATGGATGACTTCTTTTTTTTAAAACCACCTGGAAAACCTAAGAAACTGAAAACTGCTTATAGCACGGTTCCCAAGAAATACCTACTCTTCACATTTTGGCACATACACTTTCTTTTCTTTTTTTTTTTTTTTTTAAATTTTGAAGAGGCAGAGTGGACAGTGAGAGAGAGAGAGAGAGAGAGAAGGTCTTCCTTTGCGTTGGTTCACCCTCCAATGGCCGCCGCGGCCGGCGCACTGCAGCCGGCGCACCGCGCTGATCCGATGGCAGGAGCCAGGTGCTTCTCCTGGTCTCCCATGGGGGTACAGGACTCAAGCACTTGGGCCATCCTCCACTGCACTCCCTGGCTACAGCAGAGAGCTGGCCTGGAAGAGGGGCAACCGGGACAGAATCCGGCGCCCCGACCGGGACTAGAACCCGGTGTGCCGGCGCCGCTAGGCGGAGGATTAGCCTAGTGAGCCGCGGCGCTGGCCAGCACATAAACTTTCAAACCTCTTCATCTTTTCAACCAAGTTTTCTATCTTAGCTATGTAAAAGGCTTTTTACTGAAACAGAACTTCCCAACCAAAATACTGCATGTATGCATGTGTAATTCAGAGAGCAGAGAAAAGGAACAAACCCATGTCACAATGAAGAGAGAGAGGAAACACCTCTGGTTCTGAGAAGCTTCTCTTGGTGCACCTGGCGCCATCCCCGAGGGCCGCTGGCGCTCTTGCTTCTGACAGCACAGGGAGCCTTTGCGCAACTTGTCCTCTGTGTAAATGGAGCAGTGCAGTAAGTGCTCATTTTTTTTTTTAAGATTTATTTATTTATTTGAAAGTCAGAGTTACACAGAGAAGGAGAGGCAGAGAGAAACAGAGGGGTTCTTCTATCCGCTGGTTCACTCCCCAACTGGCCGCAGTGGCCGGAGCTGTGCTGATCCAAAGCCAGGAGCCAAGAGCTTCCTCCAGGTGGGGCCTAAGGACTTTAGGACTTCTTCCACTGCTTTCCGAGGCCATAGCAGAGAGCTGGATCGGAAGTGGAGCAGCCCAGACTTGAACTGGCACCCATACGGGATGCTGGCACTGCAGGTGGTGGCTTTACCCACTATGTCACAGCACAGGCCCCACAGTTTGTGCTCTTTAGGGTCTGTCTTCTTTTGCTCAACACATGTGTGGGAATCACAGGTGCAACCCCAAGTAGATCTAACTCGTTCTATTTTCAAAAAATATTTATTTATTTATTTGAAAGGCAGCTTAGAGAGAGGTAGAGAGTGAGCAAGCGAGTGAGAGAGAGGTCTTTCATCCACTGGTTCACTCCCCAAATGGCAACAATGGCCGAAGCTGAGCCGATCTGAAGCCAGGAGCTTCTTCTGGGTCTCCCACGCCGGTGCAGGGGCCCAAACACTTGGACCATCTTCTACTGCTTTCCCTGGCCATAGCAGAGAGCTGGATGGGAAGTGGAGCAGCTGGGGACTCGAACAGGTGCCCATATGGGATGCTGACACTGTAGGGGATGGCTTGATCCACTACACCACAGAGCCGGCCCCAGCTATAACTTGTTTTTCCCACCACTGTCTCCAAGTCCACTGGGCAGCTTTACCAGTTTATAAATTGTTACTGTCAAACGTTTGGGCAGTGTACACACATTTTAAAAATAAAAATGGACTCATAATGTTACACGAAGTGTTCCTTTTTCAGAAAAGCCTTGGTTTCCACTTTATTTTTCCAGAGGAGAGTTTGCCTTTAGCTCCTTATGTGGGCTTTGGTGGAGGCCATCAGGCAGCGCCAGCAGATGGAACCCGGGGTGGTGGTGCTTGGCCTTTCTGGGCTTCACAAGATTGACTCTGGTCACCTTGTTGTGAATGGCAGAGCTCACACAGCAAGGCGGCCTCACTTCCAGCCTGGAAAGCACGTCGGCGTCCAAGACCCTGGCTTCGGGAATGTCTGTGATGGCTGCGGCCTCTGCTGTGCTTTGAATGAACTTATTGACATTGTCCTTGGGCATGCATCGAGCAGTTTGTGCAGGAAACAGGGTGCATACGGCTGCAGCTCCTTCTCTGTCACCTTGGAGGCGAGAACCCACAAGAGCCCTTTTCTGATTGCATTCATTTACGCACTCACTCACTCACTCACTCACTCAGTTTACGAGGAAAACTGGTATGGATCAGTGGTGCAGAGCAAAGCGCTGGGGCCAGACTGCTGGGTGCATGGTCCGCTTCTGCCACTTTCCAGTTACGCGGATTTGCGCAACTTGCTTCCTGTTGCTCAGTTTCTTCATCTGTAAAGTGAGACTGAGCGTTTCCTTCCAAGGGTCGCTGTGAAGTGTAAGTGAGCTAACACGTAGAGCAGTGCCTAATCCATCACTACATCTCCTGTTCCAGCATTTAGCTATGACTGCTACTACCTCCACTACATGCAAGGCACTGTAATAGGAGGTAGGGTTCTAGTCGTGAGAGAAAAACAGCGAAGGCTAGAAACTGTTTAGACTATTTTTTCTTTTTTAATGATTATTATAAGTTGACTATCTTATATTTCTTTCTTTCTCACCATAACACTAACAGACTTTTTTTTTTTTTTAGCATAGTTTTAGGGTCACAGCAAAATGGAGCAGGAAGTGAGAGCTCCAGAATACTCTGCCCCAAACCCCAAACAGGTACAACTCTCACTGTCAACATTTGTTACCGTCGAGGGACCTGGATTAACCACCGTCACCCAAGTCCACAGCTCACGTTGGGCTCTGCTCATGGCCCTGTATGCCCCATGGGTTTGAATAAATGTCTAAGGACGTGTGTCACCATTACAGACCCATGCAGAATAGCCTCAGTGTCCTGCAAGTCTCGCTCCCCCGTGGCCCCCGGCAATCACGGCTGTGCTGCATCCGGAGTCCTGCCCTTCTCACGATGTCACAGCTGGAGTCACACAGCATGCAGGACTCTCAGACTGCCTTCTTTTCACTTAGTATGCACTATGTTTCCTTCATGTCTTTTAAAACTTTAAAAAATTTACTTGAAAGGCAGAGATAGACAGACAGACAGACAGACAGACAGATAGCAGGAGAGATAAAGTCAGAGACAGATCTTCCATCTGCTGGTTCACTCCTGAAATGCGCTGCTGGGCCAAGCCAAGGCCAGGGGCCAGGGACTGGGTCTGGGTCTCCCAGTTGGGTGGCAGAGACCCAAGTACTCCAGCCCTCATCTGCTATCTCCCAGGGTGCACATTACCAGGAAGCTGGAATTGGAAGTGAAGTCTGGACTGAAAACCAGACATTCCAATGTGGAATACAGGCATCTCAGGCTGTTTCTTAACCACTGGCCTGATGGCTCATTTCTCTCTAGTGCTGAAGAACATTTCATTGTCTGTATAAACAAGACTTTTTTTTTTATCCATTCACCTACTAAAGGATATCCTGATTGCTTCCAAGTTTTGACAATTATGAATAAAGGTGCTATAAACATCCAAATGGACATAACTTTTCAACTCATGTGGTTACATGAAAAGCACAACAGTAAGATCATGTGAGTATGTGTTGCTTTGTAGGACACTGCCATGTTGTTTTCCATGGTGGCTGTACCATCTGCATTTCTATGTAAAAGTGGCTTGCAAGCATTTTGCAATGAATGAGATTCCTGTTGCTCCACATCTTTGTCAGCATTTGGTGTTGTCAGTGTTCTGGATTTTGGCCATTCCAATAGATATGGAGTGGTATCTGATTCCTCAATGATATATGACATCAAGCATCTTTTCATATGCTTAATTTCCATCTGCATATGTTCTTTAGTGAGGTGCTTGTTCAGGCCAATTTTTCAATTGGTTGTTTGTTTCACATTGCTGATTTTTAGGAGCTCTTTGTAATTTTTGATGGGAATGCTTTATCAGATTTTTTATGTAAATATTTTTCACAGTTTGTGACTTGTGTTGCTCTTCATGGTGTGTTTCATAGAGTGTACGTTTTACATTTTAATGAAGTTCAGTTTATTGGTTATTTCTTTCATAGATCATGCCTTTGGTGTTGTATCTTTTTTTAAAGATTTATTTATTTGAAAAGCAGAGTTACAGAGAGAGACAGAGATAGATAGATAGATAGATAAAAGGTTTTTCCATCCGCTGGTTCTCTCCCCAAATGGCTGCAAACGACCCAGGATGGACCAGGCCGAAATCAGGTGCCAAGAGCATCCTGCAGGTCTCCCACATGAGTGCAGGGGCCCAAGGACTTCAGCCATCCTATGTTGCTTTCTCAGGCACACTGGCAGGAAGCTGGATTGGAAGTGGAGGAGCCAGGACTTGAACCAGTGTCCATATGAGTTGGTGGCACTACAGGCTGTGGCTTTAGCCAGCTGTGCCACAGTGCCGGTCCCTGGTGCTGTATCTTAAAAGCCATGATCACGGGGCCAGCACTGTGGTGCAGCGGGTTAGGCTGCCATGCCCAAGTTGAAGTCCCCTGCTCTACTTACGATTCAGCTCCCTGCTAAAGCAGCTGGGAAAGCAGAAGATGGCTCAAATCCTTGGGCCCATGCACCTGTGTTGGAAACCCGGAAGAGGCTCCTGGCTTCAGCCTGGCCTGGTCCTGGCCATTGAGGCCATCTGAGGAGTGAACCAGCAGATCAAAGATGTCTCTCCCTTTCTCTGTAATTCTGACTTTAAAATAAAATGTAAAAATCTTAAAAAAAAAAAAAAAAGTCATGACCATATCCAACATCATCTAGATTTCCTGCTTATGTTAAATTCTAGGAGTTTTATAGTTTATGTTTTTCATTTAGGTCTGTGAT